GTCAGTTGGAGTAAACAACCTTGGTGCGCATGTGCCTGCTACTTTTCTATCCCTTACTCTCTGCCTCTCCCGTGGCGTCATATGGGCTGACAAGCAGGAGCCAGTCAGGAGATGACACGTCCGAGGCGGGGACTGCTGAGCTATATAAGGGTTGGGCTTTTCACTCCCTGGGTCTCTGCTCTGTAAGCTTATGCTCTCCCTCTCAAGACGCATTAAAGCTGTTCTGCAGAAGGATCCTAAGTGTGCCGCGTCGTTCTTGCTGGCGAGACGGTAGCGCGGGACATCTGGTGCCGAAACCCGGGAACTCAGACCTCATCATCGTCAGCACCATCGGAGACCCCTTGGATTCAAGGAGGATTCAGAACTGCAGGTAACTACGCTCGGAGAGGTATGCTATTCTGGGACTTTGGATTGGAGCCTGTGTTACAATCGTTACATCGTTACTTTTGTTTCATTTGAGCCGCAGGTGTTTATTTTTATCATGGCTCCTCTCAATCCCTCTAGCATGTCAGAAACCAAGCGTAGTGTAGTGAGAGGTTAGGTGCACGTAAAAAGAAACCGGTTGTAACTAAGAAAGATAACCCCCCCGGTAAATTTAAGGATAAGGGGGAGCCCTTACAGTCCTCAAGAGGGACATTAGAAGATAAACAAAAAAGGGGAGAAGGATTATACCCTTTTCAGGAACTGGAAGCTTGCACAAATGCAAGTCACACATACTACAGGCCTGCCCTACAATCCTCAGGGACAAGGCATCGTGGAGCGAGCACATCGCACACTTAAGTCTTACCTAATAAAACAAAAAGGGGGAATTATGAAGGAGTTGCCCCCAACACCAAGAGTGGCTATTGCCATGGCATTGTTTACTATGAATTTTTAAAAATCTGGATGATAAGGGTCAAAATGCAGCAACAAGGCATTGCTCGGATCCGCAAAGACCCAAAGAATTTGTAAAATGGAAAGATGTGCTAACTAATGAATGGAAAGGCCCGGATCCTATTCTAATAAGATCCAGGGGAGCTGTTTGTGTTTTTCCACAGAATGAAGAAAATCCCTTTTGGGTCCCAGAACGACTCACCAGAACCGTTATGGAGCAAAAGGATGGCAAGACATAACAATGGTGATGAAGAATTGGACCTATGAATTTGAGCAGACGCTTCGCGAATTGAGGGTCGCCATTGTTCAGATTAATTCTACCCGCCTTGACCTGTCCTTCACAGAGAGATTGTCTTCGTGGATTTCTTCAGCTGTTTAATATTTCAAAGAATGGGTGAGGGTGGGATTGTTTGGAGCAGTCCTATGCTGCGGAATAGTGTTTATTCTCTGGCTGGTCTGCAAGCTCAGAACCCAAAACAAAAGAGATAAGGTGGTCATAGCACAAGCACTGGCTGCGCTCGAGCAAGGGGCGTCAACCGATATCTGGTTGACTATGCTTAAGCAATAGGCTGCCGACTGAACAGCTCCTGCACACCCGGAACTTAGGTTCATTGCACAGGGTAGAGTGTTTAGTCTGGCCTCCCAAGAGGGGTGTTGAGCAAAGGCATCGCACAGAGAGATATTTTCCTCTGAGAGACATGTTGTCCTGCATAAGGGTTACCTGCTGTATTTTTTCCCTTTTCCCAGAAAAAGGCAGAGGACAGGTCGGAAGCATCCCGGATTTTGATGAATCTAGGGATAGGTTTCGTACACGTCTCACTAATTTTGTTCTTTGGGAAGTTCAACCACTGTCTCTACCCTCTAATGTCCTGGGAGAGCCTGTTTGCTATTAAAACAAAAAAGGGGGAGATGTAGGGAGCCGCCCCCACATTTTCCGTTACAAGATGGCGCTGACACCCGTTGTCAGTTGGAGTAAACAACCTTGGTGCGCATGTGCCTGCTACTTTTCTATCCCTTACTCTCTGCCTCTCCCGTGGCGTCATATGGGCTGACAAGCAGGAGCCAGTCAGGAGATGACACGTCCGAGGCGGGGACTGCTGAGCTATATAAGGGTTGGGCTTTTCACTCCCTGGGTCTCTGCTCTGTAAGCTTATGCTCTCCCTCTCAAGACGCATTAAAGCTGTTCTGCAGAAGGATCCTAAGTGTGCCGCGTCGTTCTTGCTGGCGAGACGGTAGCGCGGGACACCAGGAGGAGAAGAGCTTGTCTAGGGTTTCTCATTGGCTAGTTCTGTCTTAACTGAAATTTTCAAGTTTATTAAGAATATCTTTAGGCATAGAAACATAAACTATGTATTTGAGAAAAATGCTGTGCTTTGTTTGAGGGTAAAATATTCTATGATGTCTTTTAGATCATGCTAATTGATACTGTCATTCAGAGCCCTCATATTCTTCTGCCTCAGTCAACCAATGAGAAAGGAGTAAGTAGGTTTGGGCATTTATTGCTCCTGCTCCACCCCTTGTTTTATCATGGATATGGACCCACAATGATCAGGTGCATTGTGTGTTGAGGATTATCACGTCTTCATAAATTGACACTTTTATTAGCACACATGCCCTACTCTAATCCTGTTAACATTTCTTGTTCTGAAATCTACTTTGTCAGTTACTAATATTGCCATTATCATACTTCTTAATTGTTTGCATGGTATAGCTTTCCCAATCTTTGAGGGGCTGCTTTGTTTTGAAGTCAGAGCTCACTAGGTAGCTGAAGTTGGCCTGCTGCTACTGCCTGACTGCTAAGATTATAGGTGTGAACCAATAAACCTGGCCTCCATCCTATAAAATTTAACATGTCAGCCAGGTGACAGCTCATGCCTTTAATCCCAACACTCAGACGGCCAAGGCAGGTAGATCTCTGTGAGTCTAAGGCTAGCCTGGTCTACAGAGTGAGTTCCAGGACAGTCAGAGCTACATAGTGAGACCCTGTTTTAAAAAAAATTATCTCAAAGAAAATGAATTTTAACATATCTCTTGCTTTTATATTTAAAACAGGTTTCTTCCCTTATTTGTGGTTGTTTCAAATTCCCTGCCTTCTATTGAACTATCTGAATTAATTTTTAATATGCTAAGTGTTTCTAATTTTAGTTGTTGCCCCAGGGATTACAATATTACAATGTTCACACCTTTTCCTGGTCTGTTTAGGGTTATTACTTCATCAACTCAAGTATAAGATGTATTTTTACATTTTTCTTATTACGTGTGTGTGTGTGTGTGTGTGTGTATTCGTGCACATGTATATGTGGGTATGCATACACAACATACTTGTGGAGGTCACAGGACAGCATGTAGGGGTGAATTCACTCCTTCTACCCTGGTCATCAGACCTGGTGATAGACACCTTTACCTACTGAGACATCTTGGCAGCCCTCAAATATAATATAGATGTGTGAACAAATAACAAATAAGTTCCTTTATTTTCCCTCACTGACCTCACATTACAGGTGTCTTATGGAGTTTACTATTTGTTAATCCTGGCAACCCTACCAGCATCACAGTCTTCCCTTCATTGGTCATTGTCTTAAAGAAAAGTCAACAGAGCCTTATATTTTTACCTAAATCATCACCATGTCTGTCACTTTAATTCCTAAAAAGTTCATCGTTGTCATAGTTTTCCTTCAACCTAAAAAAAAGTTTTATTTGCAGTTTTTTTCAGTAAGTGTGGTGGCGACATGTTCTTTTGGTCTTTCTTCATATGAGGATCTGTTTTATAAATATGAGACATCTGCCTGAGCCTTCCACATGGGCACATATAAATGTGTGTACACAAATTTTCCTCCCCCAAAACAAACACACAAAAAACAAAAGACTACTCAGAACACTGACCATCACAGCCTGTGTCTCTTTCGTTCTTCCTTCATGAGGCACCTCGTCCCTCCAAGGGCCTGTTTGGTTGCCCCAGTTCCTCGACTGGTGGAGTATTGCCGACTCCTCTCCCACACCCCCTACCCCAGGACAGGTGAAGGCTTCTTACACCTGACCCAGGGTCTTTCTTACACCCCGTTCTTTCATCTCCAATGTTTTAACATCAAATTTGGAGATGTAACTCCAAGGTTAAAAGTGTTTGTTGCTCTTGCAGAGGACCCAGGTTCAGATCCCAGAGCCCACATAGTGGCTCACAACCATCCCTAAGTCCAGTACCAAGGCATCTGTAGCCCTCTTCTGACTTCCTTGGGCACTAGGTATGCACATGGTACATACACACATGCAGGTAAAACACTCCTACACACAAAATAAAAACATCTAAATACCAACAAAAAGGATGAAATGCCCGTATCCTCCTCTTGTCCTGCTTTGTCTGTAAGAGAATATCCAAAGGAACAGCCCATGGCTACCCAGGAGGGCAAGGCTTTGACCTAAGTTGACACAATTTTTATAGGAATATAAAAAATAAACTTTCATCATATAATCATGTTTAGTTATCATATTCACAGGCCTCTTTCTCCTTTTTTTTTTTTGAGACAGGGTCTCACTATGCAGCTAGGTAGAGCCAGACTCACCAGGTAGACCAGGTTGGCCTAAAATTCAGGGATCTGCCTGCCTTTGTCTACGAAGGACTTGGATTAAGGGTGTGCACTACCTTGTCCAGCACAATTTCTCTTTAATTGAACATAAGACACGGTCTATTAGAATGCTGGCTGGTCCTCTTCATCTAGGTTCCTCCTTTTCCCCTGTGTCTCATTAGCCCAGGAGCAGGTAAAGCTTGGGGAACTGAAGTGTCTTTAACAAGACATGGCCGAGCAGGCTATGGAAAGTGAGCAGAGTCAGAACAGGGACTGGCCCGAGGACTCCAGCTGAGGACACAGTAGCAGATGGCCAACAGGGGCTTCAACTCAGTAGCAAACCAGGGCTTATGGAATCCAGCCAGTTCTGAGACCAAAGCCTTGGAAGCTTCCCCACCAAAGGCCACAAGGCTAGACACTAGGGATACAGGAACAGGGAAATCTCTCAGGAATCTTCAGGAGGTCACAGATGAGGCACAAAATCCAGAGCAGTCCAGGGCAGGAGGCCATTTCTGGGTCCCTCTCCTGTCAAGGCTTATGAAACAAGAAATAAAAACACAGGCGATGTTCTCTGTCACAAAAGGCCTTTAATGGCCCCTCGTTCAAGGTTCTTTTGCTTATCTGTCCTGTTGGAGTTGAATAAAACTAGAACGACTTCACAGAACAAGGGCAGCCACAGGTACAACAGGTTAACCTGGATGTGGTCCAGGAATGAATGTGCCACAAATCATCACTTCACAGAGGGTCACAGGCCTGAGGCTGCCCCACCAACCCCTTCCCACCACACCCAGGACATACATCAGCTCCCACTCCTCGGAAGAGGCAGCCCCACAGCAGCTGCGACCTAACAATGAGAGGAGACGCTCCGGGAAGACAAAATACTGTGTTTTAATTCTGTTGTGGGCTCTGCAGGTCAGGAGCCCAGTAAAGACTTTATTCCCTCACATAGGCTGCCACCTCATAGGACCTCTCTTCCTGCCCACTTATGTCCTTTCCAGTAGTCCCTGTGAGGTGGGCAGAGCCTGGCACTAGCCCTTTACACTGAGGAGCCTGAGGTCAGCGGGGTCTCCTAAGTCACACTTGGTTTTGGTGCCTTCCAAAGGTGCCATCAGTTGGCATCTTTCTCCCGTTCCATGTGATTAGCAGTGCCCTGAGCATCAAATCCTCACCCAGAATGCCGGGAGGCGGACCCAGGAGGGCTGTGCCAAAGGCTAGCACAAGTCTCCACAATAAGCTGAGTGCAGACCAGCATGGAGGGGGACGACACTGGTGGACTGCAGAAGGGGAAACCAGCCTCTTTGGGCACAAAAGCCTCCTGTTGTGCACATGGACATCCATAGGTGTGGAAGAGGAATCCTAGTAGATTCCCTCAAGGAAGACATGCTTAAAATGTCTCTGAAGAATCCAGCCTCATAAATGCCATCCCTGGTGTATCTCTTACATGAACCTGGATTACCACCCTTGGTTGTGTATAAAGAAGCCAACCCTAGCTTCTCTTCCCATTGCTCATCCTGTCGAGCCATAGGCCTTGCCTGAGAACAAGTCCTGAGTGGACGTTGGACCTGGCTGCTCGCTCTATATTTCCCATGCAGCACATGCCAACATCAAGGCCAAGCCCTACTTCCACTGAGCATCAGGCCCAGCCCACATCCAACTCATTGCCAAGCTTCAGGGTAGGTCAACTAAGAAAACAAGTGTATGTGTGTGAGTGTGTGTGTGACAGTGAGTGTGTGTGTGTGTGTGTGTGTGTGTGTGTGTGTTCAAATGCTCGGACCTGGTGACCTGAGTTCCAGCACGAAGCATCTTTGTGTCAGGATGCGTGAGTCACCCCAGCACACTAAAGCAAGAGGAGAGCCTGCGCTTGCTGGTCTAAGATCAAACCTCAGAATGGTGGTTTGAAGTTTTTCTTCAAAGTGGAGTTTAAAAGTGAAACCTCAAAAGACGAGAGAGTTAAAAGCAGTTATTGTGGAGGAAGTGAGAATGAGGAGAAGGCCAGAGACTCAACCTGTCCCCCTCTTCCCCAGCTTCCCCTGGCAGCAACCCCAGCAAGGCTGTGTGGAACACCAAGGTCCACAGTAGCTGGGCAGACAGTGGGTCCCAAGGACCTGTGCTTTTGACTATGACTTCCCTTTTGGGGGGTGACAAGTTGGTAATGTTGGGGGGTGCTTCCCTTCCACAGGCCGCCATGTAAAGCCAGTGTGTGTGGGGGTGGCAGAGGTGTGGATCCTCCCCCACAAGTAGGCTGCTTCAGGCCAGGAGGGAGGGCAGAAGGTATAGAGCTGCCTGGACCAGGCCCAAGACAGGCTGTGTGGGTAAAAAACAGAGGAGTCTCATTTGGTCCTTAAGTTTAAAAAGAGTAAATACCAGAACAGGTGCCCACCCGTATCCTGGGAGCTCAAGCTTGGAGTCTTGCCCCTCTCTGGTGGATGGGAACCACACACAGGCTTTAGCCATTGGTGGGAGAGAAAGCTGCCTCTGGGATATGGAGCCAGGGTTCAGCTCTCAGAGCAAGAGGACTGGGCATTCCCTAAGATCTCCACACTGTGATGCTTCTGTTGATGTTGGAGGAACCTTTTACTTAGAAGAGGCAACATCTATTCCTCTCACCATTGGATTTCTTGGGTGACGTGATGGTGGGCTCAGTTCCCTGACCTGTGGTCAGAGCCCAGGTATCCTGACTTTTGTGGGCTCTAGGAGGTGAGTGAGTCCAGGCCCAGGAGAGTCCAAGATGATCCACCCTGTCCCCCAGTCACTGACAACATCCATGTCTTCTGTGTCTGGTTGCTGGGACCTATCATTGGACAATAGTGCCTACAGTTCTCCCCCAGAGTGGTTACCATGACCACAATGGTCGATTGTCATTGTGGCTGATATCTAACCAGGAAAATTCAGGTCAAAAGACAGAGACTGGCAAACAGAGGGCTCATTCCACAGCAAGCTTCCTGTGTGACCTCGGGCCTCATCCCTTCAGTGACAGGGCCACCCCTGTGCAGTAGGTTGCAGCCTACAGAGTACAGGCTCCTGGTTCTTCTCTCAGCCTCATTGCAATCCCACAAATAAAGCAGACAAAGGCTATTATTGTTCCAGTTAGTGTGGACTGAGAAGTGGCCTCAGGGACTTTCAGGACAGGGTCCCTTTCACAGGTGGGAATCAGTTTGTCAGCCACCCTCCTGCAGGAGCCATCTGGGCTCTAAAGCTGAAATAGCCATGGGGTCCAGCCAGGAAACTCAGTCCTTATCCTTCTGGGAACTGAATTCTTCTCCTGGCTGGGGCACTGGGCAACTCCAATCGCCCTCTATTCATGAGCTTTTACCAAAGCATGCTCTTCCTGCCCAGATTGGCACCAACATGTGCCCTTTGGTTTACTGGAAAGTCCCAGTGTCGGCTGTTTGGTGGCACAAGTCCCAGTCCCTAAGCACAGGAAAAGTCACTGGATAGTACCTGGAACCTCAGGAGGCTCCTCTGCCTCCAGTTTCACTCCCAAAATGCTTCCTGGCCAGGAGCACTCCAGGACAGAGAAGGGCCCTATAGAGAAATGCTGTGTCATGTCATGAGATGGGAGATGGAGCAGACCAGAGGCCTAGACAAGGGATCTAAGCCGGCTACTGGAGAAGAGGCCAGAGAAACACATTAGCCTGTGTATCTTGTCCAGTATGGTAGCACGCTACTGTGGAGTAGAGGCAAGTGACACCAAATTCCAACCTCACACAGTGACATTGTGGGTTTGAGTCCACCTGGAAGAGGCACTGTGTCCAATTCACATCAAGGCACTGCGTGGACCAGCTGCAGCCAGAGCCGTCAGCACTGTCTTCTAACTTTGCCCTTGCCAGGAGCTTTCTACAAACGGGAATTCTAGGGAGAAATCCACCTTGATGTCTGCAGTACCCAGAATAAAGGAACAAAGCTGTCAGCCAAGGATGGTTTGGCTGCAATCCAACTTGACCATTGCCCTTAGGTAGGCCCAGCTCAAAGCACAGGGAGCTCTGATGCATCCCTGCCGCTGGAGAAATTTCAGTTGATCTGTGAGATAAACCCAAAGGGTGAGTGGCGAGGCTGAGGTTCAGGAAGTTCAAGACGCCAGCCTGAGAGACCCTTTGCTTGTACAAGTTAAGGATGAGAGGGAAGTTTGCCAGGGAGGGGTTAGCCCAAATGCTAAAGGGCCTTGTATCAACCCCAGAGGTTTTAGTGAAAGCCAGTGGGGGGCACATGCTTGCCTTACACTGTTCAAGATTTTAATCAGTTCTGTAGGTGCAAAAGTGCCCAGTTAGCTCTGGCAGGGTCTGGATACCAGGGAAGCCTGCCGTTATGATCCCAGGGCAGGCCAGGAAATATGACTGCCCCAAACAGACTGTTCTAATCTGGAAAGAGATGACTTGAGCTGACTGCTTATAACATTTAGAAGGTACGGGGACAGTGGGCCTGGATCATTCACCATGATAAATTATTGCAACCACTAGACAGGAGGGACTGAAAATGGCTGGGATCTGATCAGTATAATAGGATCCAATCTGTATAATTCCAGTCTGTGAAGACAGTAGTAGAGGGACATGCCTGCAATCCCAGCACTTGAGACAAGAGGATCAAGAATTCAAGATCATTCCCAGCTACATAGTGAGTTCATGGCTAGCCTGGGCTATGTGACTCTGTTTCAAAAACAAACAAAAGTTGTAGTCCCCCTTCTCAGGCAAGTATGGAACTGAGAAAAAGAGAACAGAAATTGAAATGAGATCCTCTTTCCCTGCTAATCGATACAGTTGATAAACCCAAGGTTGTCCACACACTTCTCATGCAAGCCTCAGCAAATATAAGCTCTAGGACAGAAAAATTCACAAAGGCTGTGACCACAACTTGACATCAGACAAGCCAACTAGGGTCCAAGGGTGGCCCTTCCTAGTCAGGAAAGTGCCTTCAGTGCTCTGCCTAGCCCTGAGTCCTCTGAGGTCTCATGAACCTCCTCTGAAGGCAGATGAGGAGTTGGCAGACTAGAAGCCCAGAGAGCCATCAATTTACAGAAACTAGAACTGGAAACTCTGGGGTCATCTGGTCTACCTCCTGGCTTTCCAAAAAGAAACTGAGGCCTGAAGATGGAGATGAAACTTGCCCAAGGTCACACAACAAGCTTGCATCAAAGCCCAAACAAGGATATCTTTGAGCACTGTTTTACCACCTGTCTGCCCTATTACCCTGGGAAACACCCCAGTCAAGTCACACTAACACCAGCTAATGGATACTGAGTACCCATGACCCTGGATACTAATGAGTTCAATTCCTCCAGGAGAGGGGGCACTTTCCTATTGGGGAGTGCATCTTTATGGGTACTCCCTTAACAGTGGGAATGGTGGCCTCAGGCACCTCTCTCTCTCCCTCTCCTAGCTTATAGGGATAAGTCACTGGAAAACTACTAGAGGATGCTGGAAGATACCGTTGGCTTCAGCTGCCTGTAGTCCTCCATCCCTGCTTCCTGCAGGACTATCCACTAAGGGAAAGATGTTCATCCCCTGCCCTGTCCCATCTCTTAAACCACCTCAGAAAACCTTCTCAGTAGCTCTGGCTCACTGCTAGGGGCTGGTGTTTTTCAAAGACTCGATTCCCCTCTTTGTGCCCCCACACAAAATGCAACAAAGCTAAGGCAACTCATCCTATCAGTACTGACAGATGTGGTGGTGGATCTGTAGCCTGCCTCAATCTAAGTGTCTGCTGGTTAGAAAGTCAGTTCATTGCTCTTCACTCCTGGGGTCTATGTGCCTCTCCTATGAAACACAAGGACATGGACCAAAGATGAGGGTAGAGGGGAAGAAGTCTCTGGTAGGCCTAGACCACAAGAAAAAAAGACCATTGAGAATCTATTCACAGTCCTGCCCCCTTCAGCCTTCAATACAGGCATCTTTTAGCTGCCAAAAACTGTGTCACCTCCTGGGACGGCAGGCATCTTCTTGTGTCTTGTGTCTTGATCCATCTTGCCCAACCTTTCCACCTCTTCATACCCACCATCACTTTGACCTTCTGGCCCCACCCTTCCCTTTCTGCTCCCCAACTCAAGTCAAATCCCAAGGCCAGGTAGTGTGTGTGGCCTTTCTAGGAATGAGCATGAAACGGGGGTGGTAAGTGATCGCAGAGAGATGGCTGAGGAGGATGTGTGCTGTGGTCCTGCTGGCATGGTGACGTGAGGCCAGTTCTGAGGCCAGAGGCTCGTCACCGAGACTTGGAAGACCACTGGGGCCCCTTGGTAGAAACTGGAAGAACAAAAGGGAGGGGGGAACCAGAATGGGGAAGGAGATGAGAAAGCATCCGAGTGCAGAAGTGAACCTGGAGCTGCCAGGGCGAGGGCAGGCCCCAGTCTATCTGTTGTTGAGGTGTGGAGAGCCCGTGCCGTCATCCTCTTCATCTTTGTCATCCTTCATGCCTTTCAGCCTCTGGCGGGCAAAGTCCTCAAATACAATGTCGTCATCACTAGTGGAAGAGACAAGGAAAATGCCGTGTGTTTGCAGAGGCAGATAACAGGCAGATCCAGAGGCCTGGTCAGATGTGGGTAGAGGGGCTTGAGAGACAACCACACTCTTCAAGGTCTCTGGGATGACCTCAAGTGGAAAGGCAAGCCAGGCTGGCCCATTTACAAACCCACGGGTGGCTGTGGGGATTGTCACACACAAACTCCAACAAGCTTGCCACTCAACATATAAGGCCTAGAAAAGTGACCTACTTCCCGAAGGGATGGAGAAGGTAAGTAGGGGTAGCACTGGACTCCCCAAAGGACAGGTCCAAGTAACCCCATTTACTCCTCAAAATCAAACCAACAAGACTGCTTTAGGGAGCACTGCTGTTTCAACCAGGAAGTTGGTTCTGGGCTCTATGGAAGAGAAGGCCTACACAGGCCCTTCCTCCTAGAAGCAGTAGCTCATATTCTATCCCCAAGGGCCCTAAGTAGGGGAGGGACTTTTGAGCAGAGGACAGAGGGAGGGGAAAAGATGCCTAGTTAGGATTGCAGGACTAAGGACTGTTTCTTTCCATCATGTCACTTAGGCCCAGACACAGACATATGAAGTCCCTTGCCCCATGGAGTTCAGTCAGTTGAATGAGTTTCCTCATGGGGCAACTTGAAACCCCCATTTCCCAGATCTCTCCAAAGAGTCAGGGAAAGGAGGTTTAGGGAGCTGGAGGGAGAAAGCAGGCCTGGCCCCAGAGGTGATTCAAGCCATTGAACCAGGTCCTCTTCCTCCGGTCATTGCCTGGTGCCCCATGGCCTTCCACCGCAGGGGAATCCGAATCAGTTGGTTCTCGGGCGGCAGAAGTGACAACACCCAGACACCTTCTCCACCCTACAGGCAGCCTCCAACTGGCATGGGTCGGGTGAGAGAGGGGAGCCCAGGGTCTGAACCAGCCCCTTGCCAGACAGCTGAGTGGGCGCTGCGGATGGACGGACTGACTGACGAACGTGCAAAGACGAGAGGAAGACAGACCCCACCAATGTGGGAGGAAGAGGAACAGGCACGAAGGGTCCTTCAAGTCACATGCAGGCAAGCAGGTTGCTGAAGAGGTGATCAGAGGAGGCTCTCAGCAGGCAGGTTAAACCAGCTGCTCCTCAGAGGTTAATAAGCATTTATGCAAATGACCCCGCCCCTCCACCTCTCCCGTCCCACCTCCAGACCCACCCACAGACATCACAGGCAGGGAGGTTCAGCTTACTTGGTGTCAAGCTCTATGAGATTGGTGTCTACTGGAGTCTCGCTCTCTGGAACTGAACATACACAAGGCATGTGAGGCACCCAGGGGTTAGTGGGGGTGGGGGGGAAGGAGAGGAATGGGACAAAGACCCTGCCCCACCCCACGATTCTCTAGCTAAGATGGCAAAAGCAAAGAAGGAAGGTGAGTAGGAAGCCCATGTCTTAGAACACCCAGAGTCTTCTCAAAAGCAGCAGATGCAGGGAAGGAGGCATCCATGCCTGCTGAAGGCGCTGCAGGAGACAGGTCTCCAACATGAGACACATGAATGTCTTGCTTGCTAAGTTCCATTTACTCTAAGGAGACCATTTTTGCAGCCCTGGCTAGCCTCAAACGTGTGATCCTCCTGCCTCACACACCTCCCTCTGCTGGGATTGCGGGCAAGTGCTGTCGTGCCCAGCTATTTTTTCACATCGTGACCTCTCTGCATGCAGAGTGCCATCTGTGGCATTTTGAAGTCTATTTGTAGGCGCAGACTTCATTTGCGTTATGAACTTTAACATCCCTTTAGATGTAATGTGGCCAATATGCTACCACTTTAAAAATTCAACCAATATAGGGATTGAGAAATGGCTCAGCAGTTAAGAGCACTGGGTCTTCTGGTTGTGGGTTCAATTCCCAGCACCCACAGCATATCTGACAGCCATCTGTAACTCCAGTCCCAAGGGATCTGACACCCTCTTCTGACCTCTGAGAACACTGGACGCATGCAGCACACAGGCACACATGCAGGCAAAACACCCGTATGCATAAAACAAAACTATTTTTAAGTGAAAACATAAAAGATAAAAATCGACCAGCATGGCCTGTCCTCCACCCCTAGCCTTCCTCTCCTATGGGGAACAGGAGTCAGGGCTCTCAGTCTCCTAGCTGGGTCAGAAGCAAATGCACTGAGGCCTGCAAACCCTGGGAGCCAGGGAAAGGGCGATACTGAGCTGAAGGCTGACCCAGAAAGACATGGGGTAGTGGGATAACAGGGAAGCTAGCAAGCCCCACCCCGGTGACCATGGGCCCCACTCACCTTCCCGATGTGGGGGCTCCTCTTTCGGCTTGGGGTGCATTAAGGTAAAAGGCAGCTCCACAGCCACATCACTGAAACACACACCCAGATCAGTGAGCTCAGAGGGAGCCTCCGGCTCTGAGACCTGCTGACCCGTCACTTTGAGGCCTGGGGAGTTAGCAAGAAAGCAACTACACACGCCAGTCTTGCTACCCTGAGCACCACCTTTTATCCTGTCTTCATAAAGAGATAGAAGCCCCACCACCACCAAAAATAAAAAATAAAGAAACAGAAACTCCACTTATTCCTAAGGATGGTTTGATTACCATGGCTGGGAACCACCCCGTCTAGGGACTCACACCATGGTTAATGGGTAACCAAGGTGGCCTGGGGTCCTGCCCACCCCAAATAACCATGGCTTCTTGATATTATCCTTCCCAATTTTCTCCCAATCCTACCCACCCCATCTCCCGACACTCCCATAAAGGTGTTGGGTGATCCCAGAACCCTGTCACCTGTAAGCTTCAGGAACTGAGGCTCAGTGTTGCTGCACTGTGTGCAGATTCTGACCCTCATAGGTGTGCATGTGACAGGGAGAGGAGCCACCACTCATTATTGATGACCAGGCCTTCCCTGACCTTGTCCCTGGCAGACAGGTTGAGGACAAAAGCTGGCATTTGTGTGGTACAAACTGTACCCAGGACTGTTGCAAGGCCATCCTTAGAGTCCAATTTCTGTTCTCCTCACAACAACCCTATTATTACAGTAGCCTAGGCAAGGACCAGGAAGCTAAGGTAAGTGTAGATTAAGCCTTGCCTCATGCTGCACAGCTACTAACTGGTAAATGAAGAAAAAGTCTGGCTCCATCATTCACTTCCTTAACCACTGGATGATAAAGAGAATTAGGCGACTGATAAAAAGTGGCCCGGAAGCTCCTCTCTGCTAAGGGTGGTGTCATCCTAGGAGAGACCCCTTTAGATTACAAATGCCTCTAGAAGACACAACCACATCTTACTGATCCTGTTGCTCAGGGCCAGCTGGATGACGGGAGCTGGTAGAGGCCAGAGTCGATCAGCCTTCAGTGAAACCATACAGGATGTGGCCGGAAGGACCTGGGCACCGGCTTTGCCAGGCTGTGAGTAGTAAGGGCACCACTGGTTCCCTTCTAAGATCCCGGTACCCTGCACAAGTCTGGCCACAAGCCTTGACTCAGAAACTCTTTGCTGGATGACACTGAACAAGATAGAATTATCTCTTGAGTCACTCAGATTTCATAGGATCAAGTGACAACAGGAGGTCACACTATGTGTGTGTGTGTGTCTGGGGCACACACACACACACACTCCTAAGTTATTGTCTGGCTGCTGCAAGTACAACTGACTGCACTGAGCCATGAATTCTCAGTGGAGTAGAGGTTTGAAGGCCACTAAAGCTGCATATCTCTGAAGCATCCTAGCATTCCGGTCAGTGATTCAGTTGGCCCTCCTAGAGGCCGCTGCCTAGATCCTGCTGTCTACAAAGGTCCTGTCACTTGAGTGGGAAGGAAAGACAGCCGAGGTGTTGTCCCAGGAGCCACGTCTGCCCACTGTCCCGGTACAGTTCCAGTTACAGCACCTCACCAGGCCACAATCTGAGAAAAACCCTAGATTCTTCCCTTCCCTTCTCTGTGGTTCTGATCCGCTGGGTCTGTGACCCTGGGACCTGCCGGAAGGTGGACAAAGCAGGACACAGGAGGGACTTTACCTGGACGCAAGATCTCCCAACAGGCTGAGTGGGCCAGAGGAGGCAGAAGAAGCGGTCGGGACAGAGTGCAGAGGGGAGAAAAGAAAAAGGACATTCATTCACTCCTCTGCCACCCTCCCACAGAAGACCCAAAGGACACACTCCCCACCCCTGGGCAGCTGACAGCTCATCCAGGACACTGAGGGGCGGGCTGACTTGCAGAGCCCCTGGACCCCTGAACATCTGTAAGAACTAATCTCCCACTTGCAGACTATCTAATGGCAGAAGAAAGACTTTGGGGTCACTGGGATGTGGGAAGACAGTGGGTCCTGCAAGGTCACAGGACACAGGATTGGCCACTGGGTTTAGAAAAGTTCTGTAATATGTAATCAGCATTAATACTGCCAGCCAGAGACAATATTCTTTGCTCTGTTCAGACAGGGTATGATATAGTCCAGGCTGACATCAAACTTGCTATGCCACCAAGGATGGCCTTGAACTTCTGATCTCTTGTTTCCCAAATGCTACAACCACAGGGGGATGCATCACTCTTGGGTCAGAGGCAATACCGTAATAAATGCTACTTAGTTCTTTGGGAGAACTATTTAGGCCTCATTTTTCCCATCTACAAAATGGGAAAGTCAGCCAAGTTAGCAACCCCCCCCCAACTGAGCTCTGGGTTTCTCCGCCTCCAACACAGTATGTGGGCACTGTGCCCTGAGAGGTGAGAGAACATGGTAGCCCCTGAGAGTCACAGCATACAGTCTGAGGACACCCAGACTCACATAGGCTATGCCCAGTCCTCACAGCCAGACCCAGGCCTTGGCTAAAAAGGAGGAGAGAGGGACAGAGATGGAGGTGGGGAGGAGCCTCAGCCAGTGGAGAAGGAAGAGGGACCAGGAGAAGGAAGAGAGGAGGAAGTCCTCCACAGGAAGGTGCAACTGAACCACCGGGCAAACGGGCTGGGGGTCGGGGCCCTGGGGCCTCTGACTCACCCGCCCCGGGACACCACCAGCTTCACTTTCACTTTGTAGGAAACGATGATCCCCAGGATCTCACGGTTGGCGCCTTCCCTCAGCCTGCGGGGAAACAGGGAAGCTGTTCTGTGTGGATCCTTGGTGGGTGGGTTGTGGTAGGCGGTGGAGTGCGATGGGAGGTACCACTGCCCTTCCCTCTCCCGAGCCACTAGGTCCAACAGAGCTGGGAGAGTAAGCTGTGCCCAATGAACTGGAACTTGAAGCCTTGGGTTCTACGCATGTCACTCTTGGTGGTTCTATCAATGAAGTGCAGAGGCTCACGCATGGTGGGCAAGCACTCTACCTAGGCCCTTCATTTCCACACCTGGCTATGAGATGTCCTTACTCTGCAGACCAAGTAGGCCCTCCTCCCCGCCTAGCTGCTGCCACAGTGAGAGCAGGCTCTAACCACTCTCCTACCACTCACTTCTCTCACACAGTTTTATGCTCAGTAAGTAACCCATAAACAGAAAGGGTCACATTGAGAGCAGAGAAGCCACCGTAGCTGGGAGTCATGGTGGCTCAGGAAGCATGGCTCAGGGGATGACGCCTCAGAGGGCAAGTTGAGGGCAGGTTGAATATGAGCCAGGGTGGAAAAGGAACGAAGAGCTTGTTGGTAAATGAGGAGCCTGCGAGGAGTGGCAATAATGTGCTGGTCTAGCCTGAGCCAAGAGTCTTGAGCTGGGAATGATGGTTCCAGATGCAACAGACAAGAGACTAAGCCCCTGGAAGAGAGTCAGATATCAACAGAGGGATGAGTCCCCTGCTGTTGGGACTCTTGTAGAGTAGACAACCCTGAAGCTTCAGTGACGCCCATGGAACAAGAGTGACGAGAAGGCCTTGCGGTATCTCATGTGGAAGGGTCCCCAAATCTATCTCCTCAGCTCACCACCTCTTCCCCAGGCTCTCCAGGCCCCCATTTATCTCCTTCCAGGACCCTTCTAGAAGCCATTGTCTCCCTCCCAGCCTTGATAGCATCAGGGACGCTCCCAATCTGTGTTCAGGACTGTATGCTAAGAGTTGCCAATTCTTGCAGGAAGCTTTTCCAGTTGTGCCCTGCCCCCAGAGTCAAATGATGGGGCCAAGTAGTCTTTGATGGGCAGGTGGAATAGGGAGACAGCCTCCCTGCCTAGTCACAGTCCAGAGACCTCATCCTCAGAGTGGTGGGCAAGGGGGTGGGGCCCCATCGCAGGGTGGTCACTGGGAGCATGGGACTTGGAGGGGGCGGTTCTCACAGAGTGCTGGAAGCCAGGTTTGTGTCTTCATGCTTGAGTTTCCCATCCAGGGCAAGGCCCCGCTTTTCTCGGTTGTTGGCCAGAAAGGGAGTCAGTGTGTAGACCTTGCAGAACGTTGAACTGGGTGCCACATTGTCACTGGGAATAGAGAGGGGTCATGAAGATAGCACTTATCAGAGCCAGTCCTAACCCAGTGAAGATGCCTGGTCTGGCCCTATTCCAAAACTCCTTCTGCCAGCAAACCTCTGTATCCCAGATGTAGGGGATCACTCGGGCCAGGCCCAGCTCTGGCAGGAAGCTCACTGCCACCCAAAAGGCACAGACACACCACACACATGCAGGACTGCCCCTGGGCTAGGAATGGTCATGATGTACATTTGTTTTTATTATTTACTTAATGATTACATTTTTATTTCTCTATATGTGTGTGTGTGTGTGTGCTCGCGCGCCTCCATGAGTATATGTGCATCAACACTCTTGCAAGTGCCCTTAGAAGCCAGAAGAGGGCACCATATCTCGTGGAACTGGAATTACAAGCAGTTGTGAGCTGTCTGCTGTGGATGCTGGAAAATGAGCCCCAGTCCTTTGGAAGAACAGCAAGTGCTCTTAGCTGCTAAGCCATCTCATTGACTTTTAAAAGTATCACTGCATACAAACCATGAGTAAAGCTATCAAATGTCTGGGAGCCCTCGCCTAGGTTCTACCATTGATATTTCACTTGCTGTAATGCATGTCTATCAAGCATGACAGGTACTTCAGTTGTTTATTTTTTGCCTGGTGTAGTTTCATCTCCCCTCTCCTTTTTCAAAGAAGAAACAGATACTTGAAGCTAATACTGGAGTCACCCTGAATTTGCCTCTTTGAGGGGAGACAGCCACATCTCAACCCCAAACCCACAAAAAAACCATACTCACTGGAAGGCCAGACACATGTGACCTTTCTCCAGGTTGCATATGCAAGTATGCACAGAATGTGACATTCCACTTGGGACTGAATGCCTTTCTGGCTCTGGGCCATTTCACTGTACCCCAATACTCATCAGAAATATATGCCTTGTGGCGTTGGGTTGTGTTTTTTTTATCAATAATGGATATAAGAATATGCAATAATGCAGAAACATTTGGCTTAATAATAACATATTCATCTACAGGATATTAGGAACTTTGTCAAAGGGGCGGGTGCAGTTGCTCACACCTATAATGTCAGCACTTGGAAAGCTGGAGAAGACGGGCTGCCATGAATTCCAGGCAAGCCTGGGCTACATAGTGAGTTTCAGGCTAGCCTGGTCTCAGAGTGAGACCTAGACTCAAAACCAAAGCAGGGGCCAGTGAGGTCGCTCAGCATGGAAGGCACGTGCCACCTGAATTCTAACTAGGACACACATTATTATAGGAGAGAACCGAGTCACACGAGTTGCTCTCTGACTCCCACGCATGTGCCACAACCCACAACAAAAAGGTAGATGTGGGGAAAATGTTTAAAGAAGACTCTTCCATGCCATCTACTGCGAACGTCAAAGAAGGTGGAGGCCCAGCCCTCTGCAGGTTGAGAAGAGACGCCGGCACCTAGGCTTCCCATTCGCCCATCTAGTCCCACTCATCCAAAGTTGGCCTCAAGCGCACTTACTCGGCCTCCTCCATGGCCACCGGGCACTTATACTGAGCTGTGTTGAAGAGACAGATGTCTGCATACTGGCGTACTGGAGAGAGAGAGGAGGAGAAGCGGGCACGTGAGTCAGCGGGCAGCTCCCAGGATGCACCTCAAGCCTCCTAGGGTAGGAGTGCTTAGATTGAGACAGCTAGGGTTTACCAGAGGCCACCACCCCAGCCCCCACCCAAAGAGAAGTCCCCACCGAAGCCCGTTCCCTTCCATGGCCAAGTCTTTCCTCCAGGGACAGCTTGGCCAGGGTCCAGAAAGCCTGTGAAAAGAAGTAGCTACAGCAGTAACCCCATTGCCTGTGACGCCAGCTTCAAAGCCACCGTTGGCTGAGAGCAGACCCGTCTCCAAAGCTACTAACGGTGCTTCACAGGCTTTTAACAAAGGGCTTGCCTACAGCCATCCCAACCCTTGGGAGAATTCCCCAGCTACCCGAGATTTTGATCTTCTTCACAGTCTTGTTGGTGTTGTTGGTGACATGGACATTGACGCTGATGGGTTCTCCATGGTAATAGATCTGTGAGGCAAAAAATGGGCAAGCGTGGGCGGGGACAGCACCTAACCTCTGGCCCCAAGCTCATCAGCCACTCCCCACTGGAATAAAAGTGTCACACAAACTACCAGGCATATTGACCTTCAGTACCATTGTGGGACCTTTCCAAGATGTCTGTATTAGAAGATGACATTCCAGGACTGGGGGGACAGCTTTGTCTGCAAAGTACTTGTATTGCAAATACAAGGACCTGAGTCCAATCTCCATACCCATGTAAAAATTCTAGGTGTGGGTCCATAGACCCAAAGCTGCAGGATCTCCACAACACAGGGCAACAACAGGTTATCCAAGAGGAGTCCCCGTGAGATCTCAACATTGGTAGTGTAGCAGAAACCAGAGACCTCAAACCAGACCAATGACTCTCTGCAATGAACACTTGAAGTAAAGATACGTGGACAAAGGGGTTTACTGCGTGATTCGCTGTGCTACACTACAGCTTCCGTGACAAGACTGATTTTTTTCCTTCTTTCTTTTTTTCTTTTTTCTCTTAAATTTTATTTTATTGGCAGGGGACTGCAAGGGCAGAGGGAGGACACAAAGGGACAGGGAAATGAATGGGATGGAGATGCATGATGTGAAGACACAAGGATAAATGAAAAGGAGGGGAAGAAGAAATCAGGAAAAAAGGCTGGGTGTGGTGGCCCTTGCTTGTAGGTGCTTGTAAGCACCAGGTAGGCAGAGATAAGAGGATCCCTGAGGCTCAACGACCAGCCAGTCTAGCCTAGTTGATAAACTCCAGGCCAATGACAGACTCTGCCTCAAAAGGAAGTAGACTGTGTCCCTGAGAATGACACCCCCAAAGTTGTCATCCAGCGCACACACGTGCACCCATGCACACACACATAAACACACGCCAAAAAGAAATGGAAGCTGGCATCTCCGGCTCCAGTCCTGGCCTCACCTCTGGGTAAGACACCAGCAATAACAGTAATGATAGGTTGATGATTGCATGACCATGGACATACTATCTAAGTCTCTGTTTCTCCTTTATTCAGTGTGAGAGGTTGGATGGAACAATGTCTCAAGTCCTTGTGGGCTCTGGTGGTTTGGGTTTGCAGACACAGAGCGCTCTGGAAGATTCAGGGGAAGGGAACAAGTGCTAACCAACTCACTGAAGAATCTGCTCCAAATTCTCAGAGAAGGGCTTCCACCATATCTTATCCAGGTCCTTGCCTTTAGCTCCTCCAAGAAGGAGGGTCACACCCACACCCCAGTCAGCTGGCTTAGAGTCCCCTGACTTGTTAAGAGTTTGTTGCCTTCTAGCTCATGGATGAGAGTGTAATAGCAAGGAATCCCTGGATCCTGCTCTCCACCACCCCTACTGATATGGCTGGGCTTTCCCACCTGGCCTGAAGCAGGCAATTACAGGATGTGAGGAGGAACAGCCAGAATCCTCCCAGAAGGTCCGTTGCTCCTCTCTGGTAGGAGCACATACCTATCTCTGTCAGTCATTTAGACCCCAACAGGATTCCCAAAACCCTCAAGGAAAGTCAGGAGACAGTGGGGTCTGAGCCCCTTACCTCCTTATCCAGAGATGCCTCAAGGTGCAGGGGCTTGTCCGACATAAGGAACTGTCTGGTGGTCTCGGCCGTGGGCTGAGGGCCAGGCCTCTCTGGGGCATACTGAACCTTCCGGATGACTAGCCGCACAGAATTCCTAAGGGAGAGGTGTGGGGAAAAAGACCGTCACCAGCCTCCATGCCCTCTCCTCTGCAGTACTCACATCTCTCTCCTGCTCAACAGGCTACTGTAGCTCCTCATTGCCCGACAACTACAGAGGTTAGCCAGGAGGGCTTGCCACCATGTGACTCTGCTCCAGGCTCCTCCATTCTCTCCCGGGGCCACCCCACAGCATCAGTTCATTTGGGTCCATGTCCCAGAATAGTTTTTGCTTCTCACCCCCTATGTATCCTGAAAGTGTAAGCCGCTTGAGGCTGGAAACTTCCTGTCTAGCTTGTTCACGACCACAGTCTCCGCACATGCGGCCTTATCTGTTAAAGACCCGCTAAGTGGGGATATGCAGAATGGACAGGCCCCCATAGGAGGTGGGGATTTCAGTACAGGATGTGGATTCAGCCACAGAGGTGCAGGACAGTGAAGAGGTGAACATGTGAGGTCTGCAGATAAGAAGCGTACAGCGGAGGTCCCGGGGCTTCCGGTAGAAGGAAAAATGGACTGAACGGTTGAGGGCACACTGTTTCAGTGGCACACGGGGAATGCCAGCACCCTTATCTCTCCATTCTCTGGAACCTGAGAGTCTTGGTGGCACACCTAGCTCTCCTTTTACTTAACCACATGACCTGAGGAAATGACCCTCTCTGTGTCTCAGTTTCTTCATCTGTAAAACAGCGACAACCGCACTTAGCCCTCAGGTCCACTGGTGGGGTTAAAGCAGTCCAACTAAGCTCTTGAGAACTGACAGCTACTGTCTCATTATTACTAGTGAGTCTTGGGAGTAGACTTAAGATGTCCCACTGGGAGGGGGTGAAGGTGGTGACTCTCAGTGCTGCCTGCTGTTCATTGTTCTGCTCAAGACCCCTTTCATATTCCACAATGCTGTTAGGTCCCCTTCATCTCAGATCTTAAGGGGCAGAGAAGCAAGAGAGAGAAGTCTAATCTGCCCCTCAGCTCCATCCCCCAACACAGGAGCTGCCAAGCTGCAGCTTGAAACACTTGTGATACACCTAGTCACCACCAGGTGGCAAACTTATCCCTAAAGAGGCTGGTGGGCATCCCTCAGCTGGCCGGCTGGTCCAGGGGCTGGATTTAGGATTCAGGGGTGTCAGAGCTGCGGTCAAGACCCAGAGACAGGAAGTACTGAACCCCAGGGAGGGCATCCATGGCTGTCAGGGCCAGCTGCTTTCCTCTCTGCAGAGCACCGCAGGAGAACGCCCCTTCTCTGAACCACACACAGACGGCTCTAGGTTCACTTTCTCCTCACCCTCCCTCGTTCAGATCCCTCCACAGCACAGCTCCACTCCTGCTGATGGCCTCTCAGTGGGCAAGCAGGGGAATATGGGAAGCCTGGAAACATTCTGTGCACTATTGGAAGTTAGTCTTCCTAACGGCAGAAGCTGCCCTCTGGAGGAGTAAGATACGAGGCAGGGATGTGAGGGAGGACTGGCTCAGGCCCCTCAGGCCACCTCCTCCAGGAAGCTCTCCATGACCTGACAGCCTTCCAGACCCTTCCCACAGTGCAGCCCGTTGCTTCCCTTTGGACTTCCTCCTCCTGTCTTCCCACCGGCATCCCGCGCACCTTTTGTGGATCTTCTCCTCCAGGTTCTCGGCACAGAAGGCTTTGACTTCGTAGTCCACACCGCAGGCCTGTGGAGGAGGCCATGCTGACCCCATGGCATTGGGGAGGCAAGGTCCCTATCCACCCTCCCATCTTACAAGCCAGAATGCGGGGCGAGAACAAACTTCTGTCCCTTGAGGGCTCCTTGATATGGGTCTGAAACCCTGGCACCAATGTTGACCTTGGCCCAGCGCTGCCCCTGACCCAGGACCTCCCACTGGAGCTCCTCCTGTGAGCCCACCTGCCACCCCCAATCACCCTTTGGACCCCGGCTTCAGTCTAGGTGGCTATCCTCCTCAAGACAGCCATCAGCAATGTGAAGACCCGGTGCCAGGTATCATGGTGTCCCCCTCACTCTCTTACAATACGGGGAGCATGTTCACTGTCTTTGCTCTGAAGATAGAGCGTGAGCTCTAAAGTCGGGGGCCTGGGCTGCTGCTGGTGTCGCTCCTCCCCAAGCTTCAGCTACCACAGCTGTTTACAGCAGCCATCCCATCTCCAAACAAGGCAGCTGGGGACTATGTGAAGCCACATGGAGGTCTTCAGAACCGGTTGTCCCTGTGCAATCAGTACCAGAGCCAGCAAGAGTGACTCGAGGGAGCCTGTGACACATCACAGAATGTGGGGACAAGACCAGCCTGCATCTGCAGCCCTATCTCAAGGGACCAATTGTCTAAAGAATATCAGCCAGACCTAGGTCCAGGCAGCTTCAACAGGAAGGGAGGTTCCAGATGCCCACTGCTTCATGGGGAGAAAACCAGGACCCTGGAGACACGAGAGCCTTGGACCAGAGAGATGGTCTTCTTGGAATGACCTACCTTCCCTGTGTCCTCAGGCCCTGGCTGCAATGTCACTGAGCACGGAAGGTTTGGAGGGATCTGTTTCAGGAGACAAATAAAACGAGTCAACCTTTCACCTCTGCCTTGTGTTTCCCTACACACCTCGATCCTAAACACCCTGCAGATCAAGGAGGACAGACCGTCTGTCCTCCATCAGCCAGATCTTCTGAAAGCAAGCCGTATCCCTTCCATCAGACTAGGAGCCCCTGGCATAGACTGTTTCTCTCCTGTCACATTATCACACTGTACACAGGGTCAGTGGCAGACTGGGGAAGATAAGAATTTGAGTGTTCTTCACCCAAGATCTCAGCTCTGCCCCAACCCAGAATCATGGAGTTTTGGAAACATGAAGATGAGAACTCCAGAAGCGTGGAGTCTTAGAATGGTAAGGAGACATGACTGAGCTGGGCGTGGGCAGTCTATCTGAGGGGAGAAACATAGTGACCCAGGGCCAGACAGAATTCCTCCCTTCACTGCAACCACCCCTGGACCTTCCTTTCTCTAGTAACTTACTCTCAGAAGGGCCAGAAGAGCAGCCTAGAGGTTAAGGTGACATGTCCACAGTGGCCAAAGATAAGACTCATAACAGGTAATGTAAGTGACAGTACCCACGTCCTAATCGGGTGAGACAAAGCAGCTGCCCTCCTGGCTTCCCTATGTGCTCGCCCTGAGCACATGCCAGAGGTGAGGCTTCTGGAACTCAGGTAGAGAAGGGGAGCTGACCTCAAAGGTGAAGGGGTAGGCATGCTCGCCCAGCTTCTTGATGAGCCGCTCCTGTAGCCGAGTCAGTGGCTTCTTGTCCTCAGGGGCTGGTGGGAAGGACTGCACATTGGCCACAAACAGGTCTTTACGAAAAGTCAGACCCAAGACATCCAGGTCTTCCCGGCCATACCGGAAGGCGCAGGTCAGCGTCACGTAGACTGTGAGAAGCAGGGGCACTGAGGAAGGGCCTGGGAGGGCAGCACACAATTCCCTCCCCAGAGCTCCAGCTGCAGCCTTGGGGTTTGGCCCTACCGGAGGCTACATGCCTGTCCCAGGTTCAAGTGGGTGGGTCCACTGGCTCTAACACAAGGCGCCTTTAAGTGCGGCCTTGATACGACTCTTGGGGAGAGGCCTCCTGGGAAACTCTGTCCTCACTAGCTCACTCCAGCCCAGGTATATGTAGGGGCAGTATGTAGTCAGGCACCCTGGTGGCTGTGGTGGTTGGATTAGGCTGGCAGACTCAGGAGAGGGGCAGGGAGACAGCCTAGAAGAGAAGCATACTGAAGGCTGTATGTGTCTAAAAGACACAGGCTCTCGGGTCAACCTAACCCTAACCTTATATACAGACCTTTTTACCTTTGTCGTCTATAAAATGAGACCCTCTTTCCTGCTGTATTGTCATCTCCCCTGATGGGACAGGGCAAGCTTGGGGCATAAATGGCGGGCATGAGGCAGGACTTCTCTGTGCTGGAGACCAGAGTTCCCACTACGGTATGCATGGGAGCATCTTAGCACATAGCCAGTAGAATGGCAGGGAGAACCATAGGAGGTCACCAGAGAACAGAGGGTGAGGAGCCACCTGGCATGCTGTGGGTAAGAGGAACACAGCTTACCTCGCCTTTCTTTGAGATACTCAGGATCCACCAGGACCACACCATCTGGGGGAGACAATGAACAGAGTCCCCTGGCTTGACCTTCTCAACTCAAGCCCCAAACATCCACTCAAACCAAACTCCAAAGGTTATAAATAAGACTCATGGTCCATTTGGGTACCACCCTTTTCAGTATGTACACCTACTATTGATACCTCTACAGGAAAACACAGCTACAGTCACGCACTATATAACAATATTTCAAAGAACGGTGTGTATTAGGTAGCCCCATAAGAGTATACTGCCTGGGGACATCATGGTGATTTTAGTTAGTGTAAGCACACTATGTCCTCTACACAATGACAAAACCACATAAGGACAATTCTCAGAATTGCCATCATTAAATGACTAATCTCGCCAAGAGGCTAACTATGGTAAATGGCCTTGAGTCATGTTAGGCTGGCTTAGTAATAAACAGAGTCTGCACCAGGCTTAGGAACAGTGAGGCTTTTCAGAGCTTCCTGGATATTGTGGGGAGTGAGGGATGTCTGTGAATTGGGGGCTCTGATCAGTAGCTCTCAAGGTTCATGTGAGGACAGATGGGAAGTCAATGTGCACGTGGGTAAATTCTGTCACATATGGAAGTATTTGGACAGCCCCTGGCATGTGTGAGCGTGACTGTCATGGTTTGTATCTTAAATGTCCGCCAAAGGCTGGTGTGTTGAAGGCTGGTCTCCAAAGCAACAGTGTCTGCCTTTAGGAAGTGACTGGCCCATGGGGGATCTAACCCACCAGTGAATTCATAGCTTAATGCCCTACTGGAAGGCAGTGGAAACTTTAAGAGATGACCTGGTTGGAGGAAGAATATCTATCAATGTGCCATGAAGAGCATATTTGGTGTTCGGTCCTTTCTTCCGGCCCTGCTTCCAAGGCACATGGCCCCTGTCATGACATTCTGCCTCACTGCAGTGCCACAGCCCTGAGTGACTATGGGCTGAAACCTCTAAAGCCATTGCCCAAATAAGTGAACATCTTGTCACAGCGACAAAAGCGACTCACATGGTGGAATAGGAAGTACCCTGATACTGCTCACATGACCTGTACTTGGGAGCAGAGCATCTGGCAGGACACAGGGGATGTTTCTTAGTTGAGCATCCCTGGAGGCTAGGAATACTGCCCCAAGGATCATATGTCTGGCGCACACACACACACACACACACACACACACACACACACGCACGCACGCACGCACGCACGCATGCACGCACAGGCGCACACGCACAGGAGCACACACACGCTCATGCCTGCGTGCTGTAACACACTGCCACTCTACCCACCCCCATATATTCCTATAATTGACCATTCAGAGTGTCTCAAGAAACAGTGAATTCTCTGGTCCAAGTTTACAGGGACATCTAACAGGGATATCCCCGATCTAGCCTCAGGGTCCCCCACCCCCATGAATACTTTTCCATCCATGACAGGCATTACCTTTGTGCCATGTCCTGCACTGACTGGAAGCCTGGGACTCAACTGAGAATAAATATAATGTCCCACTGAAAGCACCTGCCCCTGCCAGTGGTGCTTCCTCAATGGGGTTGAGGAGAGGGTTACTTGGGGCTAGACCCCACAGGACAAGGAAGGATTGCTCACTAGATGACCAACAGACATGACAAGGGAAGAAGTTCAATTCTGTGGCCTGAGAGCAATGAAACGTGAAGGCTGTAGGAGAGGATTCCCAGAGCTGGTGGCAAATGTTCCATCAGCTGGTCCTGGGCCCTGGACTAGCACCAGGTCCCTGCCCCAGTGGGATGGTGAAGTATGGGGAACACAGGACCAGTTCAGAGAGAGGGCAATGTCATTGACCAAGGAACTCACTGGGTCCTCAGTTCCAGCAGGGAGCCTGGCATGAAGTAGGTACCCTCTGGTGCCAATTTGTATACTGGAGACCTGGCTCCTCCTTCTCTAACCCTTCCACAGCTCCTACTAGGTTTATGCTCAACCATGGTCCACAGAGAGCTCCCTGGAAACCACTGCCTGAAGCCAAGCACAAGAGAACCCCAGACCCAGTGCCTCAGAAAAACCAGTTCTGAAGAAGATGCAAATGGTGGACCATCAGAAGACCAGGCAAGGCTGGGGAGGAAACGTGGTCCCGTCCCAGGCCACAAAGGAAAGGGTCTGGAATGAAACCAGAATCTGCAGCTTGCCGTTCTGCCGCTACCCCATGGGCTCAGGCTCCCAGGGCTCCTGCTTACAAGAGTCTTCTCTCTGACGAGCTGAAACCTGCTGCTACGCTCTGTCCTTTTGACTCTGGAACCAGAGTCCCTCTTAGCCTAGGACAGTGCACAAGAACATAGCAATCTCGCTAGGACACCTTCCCAAGTCACACACCCCAGTTTATTTGCCTGGTCCTGGCCTCGGTTTATATCACTCTGGAATGTTCATGACCATTTTTAAAATAATAATTGAACATGTCTGGTCTCAGCACATCCCTTTGTAAACCAGGGTGATTCTGAACCTCCCTCATAAAATATGAAAAGAGGCCTGAGGCCAGTGTCTTTCTATAGAAACAGCTGTTCTGAGCGAGGGCAATTCACTTCCATGCGGTCATTTAGCATTGTCCTAGCTGTGGTGGCATAGGGACCTAATGGACTGAGGCCAGGGATGGTGGCAAATATCCTGCAGTGTACCAGGTGGACGCCTCCAACCAAGAATAATCCAAGCCAAGATGGCAACAGTTCCAAGAGCAAGAAACCAAAACTCAGGCAAGACCTTGGGAGACGATCTCAGCCGTGACTCAGCTTCTCCAGCAAAGCCCCATGGAGGTGAGGACCCTGGTTCTGAGGTCCTAAGAAGACTTTCCCCAGGAGACAGCAGGGTTAGGGGCTAGAATCCAGACCCTTCGACTCCCTAGCTCTGTGACCTGGAACGGGTGGCTGAGCCTCTCTGTGCCTCATTCTGTCTGGAAAGCAGAAGATATCGCTGCTGCACAATAAACCTTATGTAATCCGCGGCTGCTGCTGTCCATCAGGGCCACCTTCCGGCCTTACAGCAGTCAGAGAGGACTCTCTCGTGAATAGGAGGAGCTGCCCAGAAGCTCACTTTCTGAAGCAGGAGGCCATGCCCATCCATTCTGGGCACCAGACTCTTCTGGAGACAGGACTCTTCCCTAGCCCTCTGCCCAGCACTCACCCACAGGGTCCACGAGGTCAATGTGGTCCACAAAGTCCCGCTTCCCCAGGTAAACAGTGAGCTGGAGAGGAGAGGCACAAGAGTGTTAGTGGCTGTGAGCCAGCATGACACAGGACCCTGGACCAAACACTGATGCCTACACACATTCCTAACCCTTACTGGAGCCGCAGCAAGATGTGGGCCCCCACCCCAAACCCAATATTAATGATGGTAGACCTTTGAAAAGTTTTTAAACACCTCTGCCTCCCAACCCCCTATGAAAGGGTTCTTATTCTTCCCATTTTATAGACTAGCATACTGAGGCCCAGGGAGGTCTTTAAACCAACCCCACTGAGGGTTGGAGGGAAAGCAGATCAAAACAAGAAAGCAGGGCATCCTGGGGTCAAGCAGGCAAGCCACATGCTCAGTGCAGGTGCTGATGCTGGCTCTGGGCTCTGGAGTACTGCCTGAACTAGGCGGGGAGCTACTCACATGAGGACGTTTCTTCTAGGGCACTGAGGAAGCAGGGAGCTAGCTCCCTACCCAATCACCATCTAGCAAGGAAGAGCCCTGAGCCAGATTGAGCTCCACTGGGTCAAAACTGAATGGAGAGCACCATCCTAGATGTCCCCTGCTCCTCAGCCTTCCACAGTCCTGACCATTCTACTCCATCATGTCCCTCAAGGGAGACCACATCAGTCCCTTTGACATTTGGCAGCCTCCAGCTGTTCACATCACCTTAGCCACACCTAAGACGCAAATCTAAGCAAGCAGCTGTTTCAGACAGCTGCGCCTTTCTGAAAACCCTTAAACCATTTCCCTGTGCCTCAGGGGGAAGGATGACAGACCAATTTCATTCTCAGCACCAAATCTAATTGACTGGTCTGGGATGCCTGCGGCCCTGGATTGCCAAGGAATCCAAGATAGGACGGATCCTGGCTCAGCAGGAAAGGTTAAAGATGGTTAACGATGCCTGCTATGGACTCCAAATGGAGATATGGACATGCACAAGGCAACCCAGGGTGTGTGTGAGCTGCTGGCCACAGAACAGCTGCCATGTGCCCTGTGTCATCCTCTGCTCTATTCCTTCATCTCACTTGGAGACTCACAAGCCTGGGGGACCCCACACTTCCTTGGATTTTATGCTCAACCCTGGAGATACCCCTCTTCACCTAGCTTTGCCTAGAACTGTGTCACCTCCAGAAGAAGCCATGGCTGGCACACACACACACCCCAGGCAAGGTCTTCCAGTACCTGGGCATCCCAGAATCTCATGCTTGGCATTTTATGTGAGACGATCAACCTCCACACTGGGGGCACCATGCCGCTCTTATCTCAGTACCCTCCCGACCCCCAGCAGTCCCAGCCCCGACGCGGCATGGATGTCAGTACTGACTGTTTGCTGAACAGAGAGTAAAACGGGATACAGCCTGCAGCCTGTGCAAGCAAGCAAGAAGCCCAGGCCTGGGAGCCCCGGAAGCAAGACGGATGGAGGAGGACACACCAGGGGACTTGATGGCGTAAGTGGGACCGGCGTGTCTCAGTTTCTCACACTCACACCGAAGCCTCTTTGGGAGCAGCCAGTCCATCTGTCCCCAGCTGGGACTCCCTGAAGCTCTCACAGAAAGTTTCCAGGGAGCCCACACACACACATCCCACACACCCCATTGGTCCTCAGGACAGAGCTGTGTCAGCCCTAGACAGCTAACAGGGCCCGTCTCTCCCAGAAGATGCTGCTTCCTTTCCTAGTCCACAGAGGCGCCCAGAGCGTGGGAACAGTGAGCAGTTGGCACACACTACAGACTCACCTTTCCATTGGGGCTTGCCTTCTTGAACACTCTGTGGAAAGAAAGAGAGGCCAAGTCAGGGTTAATGGTCTCTTGCAGGCGACCCCGAGACAGGGCCATAGATAAAGGTCTTGAGTGTCCCACAGGCACTAGCAATGTCTCGGAGCAGGACAGCTCCTTCCTTCCACCTCTCCTGCAGGGAGGAATGCCAGCAGCCTGAAGCCCCTCCCTCCGTCCTTCAGAGTGGGCTGAGGGAGACTCACAAGTCCAGCCAGCTCGAGTACAGGGAAATCCTTGAGTGCCTGCTAAGTCCCAGGATCTTACCCGGCCTCCTTCCCTCCCAATGTCACCTCTTGCCACTCCCCCTTAGTCTCCAGCCCCTCTGTTCCTTGCTCCTTGTCCACCAGGTGATCGCTGCACAAGGCCTTTGTTCCAAGTTTCCCTTACCCTACTCTCTTACCCTGGACACTCTTCCCAAATGTCCACTTTCCCAAGCCCACTACCCTGTCGTCCATCCCCTGATCCTTCTCTCGATTCATTCTCCCTTTCTTCCCAGCAACCCCTTGACCATATACTCTTGTCCCACCCGTCTGCTCTGCTAGCATGCCCTCTCCAAACAGCGGACTCTCTCTCTCCTGTCCACAGGGGCATCCCAAACACACACAAGAGCACACCTCATGATATTGTCCAACATGACAGCAGGTGGCAAGGGCACAATAAATACTAGTTGAACAGATAAATGAACCAATTGCATTGCTTCACTGAGGGGCAGAGGCACGGGAATGTGGGGGCAGATGCCTATGCTCGCACAGCAGAGCACTGGGCGTGAGGTCAGATGGTAATGCAGTCCCTAAATCCTGAAGAGTGCTGCTTGCCTTTCCCGGCAGCCCTTTCCCCCTGCCAGAGCTGTGTCTGGGGGCCTGAGTCTCCCTTGCCTGCGTACCTTCATCCAGCCCACAGCTTCTCAGCCATTATTGGGGACAGACAGAAGAAAAGTGAAAGCTAGAGAGACAGGGATGAGAAAAGGTATTGAAAGGAGGAGAGGTATGAAGAGAGGGGAGAGAGAGACAGAGACAGAGAGACCGGGGTACAGGGATGAAAATAAAAGATGAACAAGAGACAGGAGTAAAGAAAACCAGGGAAAGAAACAGAAAGCCTGAAGGAGGGAGAATGGGAAAGACCCAGAACGGTGGAGCAGCTTAGTAGGCTCAGCAGGGTGTGCCCCAATCCTTCCCAGAAGCTGATCTGCAGGCATCCAGGCCTGTGGCTGTGTGGGGTCTCCACAACCTTGGCCCTGCCTCACCCTCCCTTCTGGGACCCAGGGAATACTGACAGGTCTGAATATTGCTTGCAAAAGAGAGCGTGGACCAGCCTCTCCCCAAGCATTCCCCTAGGGGCCCTGGGAGCCTCGTCTTCTCATTAATATTTATCAGTGTTGGGAGTGTGAAGATGCCACTACTGGCCTGGGTGTGATAATTGTTAAAGTACGAAAAAAATGCAGACCACTCCGTCTGAACCAGCAACTCCAAGCTAGGAGCTAGAAGTTCCATGTTTCTCCAGAAAACCAGAGAAGTGAAAACCCTGTGACTACCAAGTCACAGTCACCTCCAGCCCTTGGTAGCCTGGGCTCTGAGGGAAAGGAAAGATCTCACACCCAGGCAGCATAAACTTCTGAGAGAGAAGCCTCTCCCGTGGCTGCTGAGAAGGATGAGGCCCACGTGGGGCCAGGAGGAGCAATATTCACCAAGCAGAGGAGGGAGGGGAAGGGGAGGGGAATCAAAACTTCGGCGAGCAGCTCCTTATTTCTCGTAGTAGAAAGGAGAGTCTAACTCCCACTCCACGGATAATTAACCGGAGGCTCCGTGCGATGCATTAACTTGCCCAGGAGCACAGCAAGCAAGGGGCTAGGTCAGGTCCTAGACCCGCTTATGACCGGGCCTCCAGAGATTGGTGCCTTAATCCAACCCACTGTTTCCTAAATCCGTGTTTCAAAAAGACAGGAAGAACAGACAAGAGGGGAGGGGGAGAGGGATAAATGAAAGGTTAGTGGGGTGAGGGGCAGAGTGGGGATGATGAGGGGCAGGAAGCACAGCCATCAGTGGGGAATGTCCTGCTTCTACCTTAGTCAGCACCCAAGGCCACCTCCTTCAGGAAGCCGGGACTCTTGTGGCTTCCTCAAACAACAAGAGCAGCTGCCTCATTCTCTGCCTGTTTGTTATTCCCCACTCACGCCTCTAAGTTCTTTTCCCAGGACAATGCTGATCCTGGACAATCCCATTTCAAAGATGGAGACATTGAGGCTCGAAGAGGCACCCGTGAGACTCAACCAGTCCATCACATAGCCAAGCATAGCCACTCAAAACTCCACCCACTTCTTGCCCCAACACTGTCGCAAAAGAGGTTCTACGGGGTATTTTCAGTTTCCACAACCCCACATGTGCAACACCACACACACCTCTCTGCCTGTGGCTGGCACCAGTGTAACCTCAGCCCACAATCCCAGCCAGCCTTGCAGGTCTGAGAGCCACTGCATCTGATCACCCCCAGCCCTGCCTGTGTCCCACACCTGAGCCTTAGTCACAGCTGGGTTCCCCAAAGAGAAAGACCAGCAGTGTCCTCCCTGGTTAGGGTTCAGGATAGCTCAAGAGAAAGACCAGGAGGTCCTAGTAAGGAGGTCAAAATCTCACGGGAAGGATGAGCAGGCAGGATGCGCTGGGGCCGGAGCTGAGAATGGGGACGCCATCGGAGCCTCAAGCCGTAGCTCCCTGTCTCCACCGCTCCTTCTGGGGCTGCTGCAGGGCCTCCTGGCTGCGAGGCTGTCTGTGCGGCTGCTCCATTGTCTCTGTGGACCAGCGCGCCCCGCTTACTCAGGGATTTTTCTGCTCCTCCATCCTTTGGGCTCGCATGTGACTCACACTCCAACCCTGTTTCTACCCTGCCTCTCACTCAGCTTCCCGCTGCTAACTGACTGAATGGCCCAATTCCAAATTCCCAGGAGAGGAATCTGATTGGTCAGCTTCGATTAGGTATCCCACCCCCTGGCCCAATCACCTATGTCCAGGACATACCCTGTAGTCCATGAAGCATGAGCAGAAGAGGCTCTGGAGATAAGTATTGTCCAATCCAGAGGTTGCAACTCACTGGTTGATTAGGAAACCTACTTAAAACATTATGGAATGGGAAATTGGCTCAGTGGATAAATTGCCTGCTTCACAAGCATGAGGACCTCAGTTCAGATCCCCAGTACCCATGTAAAAGCTGGATTTGGCACTGGGGAGGCAACGATAGACAGATCCTGGGGTTTCTCTGGCCACACAGATAGGCCTACATAAAGAGCTCTGGGTTCAGAGAAAGCTCCACGTGTAGTGAGGGACCCTGTTTCAAAAACTAAGGTGAAGAATGATAAGGGAAGACATCCATAGTTGACCTCTAGTCTCCACATGCACACACTCACACAGGTGTGCACAAACACATACAGTACACACACACATACACACACACACGCACGTGCGCGCACATACAGAGACAGATCTTTTTTTGAGGTAGGGTCTTACCATGTAGTCCTGGCTGTCCTGGAACTCAAACACAGACTCACAGTGATTCTCCTGCCTCTACCTCCCAGGTGCTGGGATTAAAGGCATGTACTCCTATGCCTGACTATATTTTGGGATCGTTTTGTTTGTTTGTTTGTTTGTTTGTTTGTTTTCAAGACAGGGTCTCACAAATGTAGCTCCAGCTATCCTGAAACTCACTATGTAAACCAAGCTAGCCTCAAACTCAGAGATCCTCCTGACTCAGCCTCATAAATACCTCTACACCTGGCTTTTTTTAATGAAATGGAATGAACTAGAATATAGAAACAAGTGCTACAGATGACAAAGATGTGCTAGACACTCCTACAGGCACCAGAGTTCCCTAAGGCTGGAGGTATGGGATGCCAGGCATCTTCCTTCCTGCGGAGTCGGACACCACCCTGTGGCTTGTTCTGACCAATGAAATGGGAGTGTGAATGCCACATGCCACTTTCAGCCAGAGCCACAGAAGGGGCTGTCCATGGGTCCCCAAACCCTTCATACTCATTTTCTGCTATTTATGAAGTCCCATTAATTCAGTGGCTACAAACAACACAAACTCATCTATAGTTCAGTGCTTCAGAAGCTCAAGGTGGGCCTCCATGAGCTAAAATCAAGGTGTCAGCATCCCTTGGTTACTTCTGGGGGTTCTAGGGCAAATCTGCTTCCTACTCTCTCTGGCTTCTGGAAGCCTCCCCCTTCCTCCATCTTCAAAGCCAGTGAGAGAAGGTGAACTTCTCATTATTTACAGCATAGCTCAGATCTATAATCCCTTTCATTCTGAAGACCTTTGAGATGACACGGGAACCATCTAGGTAATCCAGAATGATCTCTCTATTTTAAGGTCATGAGATTAGCAGCCTGAAGCCCATCAGCAACCACCATTACCCATTGCCACATAGCACAACATTCAGAGGTTCCAAGGAGTAGGACCCAGACATCTTGGGACAAAGCATTGCTTTGCTGCCACACTGTCTTTTTGCTGCTGCTAAACTTAGCAATGTTCTGGAAATTCTGCTACATGGTAGTACAGACAGGGAGGCTTGAGTCCTGTCAGATACATAATTTTAAAATTTGAAATCCTGAGCTGGCTCACACCTTTAATCCCAGCACACAGAGGCAGAGGCAGGTGGATCTCTGTGAGTTGGAGGCCAGTCTGGTCTACACCGTGAGTTCCAGGACAGCCTCCAAAGCTACACTGAGAAATCCTGTTTCAAAAAACCAAACAGAAAATTTGGGATCCTGAGGCATGTGTTACTGCAGCAGACCAGCTGGAACCTAACAAGGAGAATGTCTATGATAAACCGATCCTGAAATTCACAGGGGAATGCAAGGGAGAAGAATTGCCAAAAGAATCCTGAAAAGAATAGACAAATTTGGGAGGCTTGACCTTCTCAACTTCAAAACTTACTGTAAAGATACAGTGATTAAGGGGGCTGGAGAGATGGCTCAGTGAGCACACACTGCTCTTCCAGAAGACCTGAGTTTAATCCCAGCACCCACACCCTGCAGCTCACAGCCACCTGTGATTCCAGCTCCAGGGGTATCTGACTCCTCTGGCCTCTTCAAGCATCTGCACACATGTACACAAGCACGTTAATAAAAACAATAAATTATTTTAATGATAGAGTAATCAAGGCCGTATGGTACTGACAACACAGCGAGCAATAAAAGATCATTAATAGTACAGAAATAAACCCACATATTTGCGGCAATTTGTATTTATCTCTATTCAAATCGTGACTTTTTTTTACAAGAGAGCTAAGACAAGGTGGTGAAGAGAAAGAACAGTCTTTCTGTCTGTCGGTCTGTCTGTCTTCCTTCCTTCCTCTCTATGTATCTTAAGCTGGTCTCAAACTCCAGGTTCTCATGCCTCAGCCTTATAGGTGCGAGCCACCACGCCTGCTAAAATAGTCTTTTCAGCCAATAACAGAGGGGCTAGATGTCTACATGCAAGGGAATGAGTGAGGCCCCTACCTCACACCATACACAAAATTGGCTCAAAAGGAACCAAAGACCCAAATGTGAAAGCTACTGCCATGAAACTATTAAAGAAGCTCTTAAGTATGCAAATCTTCATGTCCTTGAATTTGGCAATAATTTTGATTTGTTTTGTTTTTCGCGACAGGATTTCTCCATGTAGTCTGAGCTGTCATGGAACTCACTTTATAAACCAGGCTGGCCTTGAACTCAGAGATCCACCTAACTCTGTCTCCCAAGTGCTGGGCTTAAAGGGGTGTGCCAAATTATCACCCAGCAGGCAATAATTTCTTAAATCTGACACCAAAATCACAAGCAACTAAAGGAAGGAAAAATAAATGTTTATGCTAAAGAAGTTACTATCAAGAAAGCAAAACAGAACTGAAGTGATGGATCAGTGGTTAGGGCCATTTGCTGCTCTTGCAAAGGACCTGAGTTTGGTACCCAGCACCCACAGTTCGGCAGCTCACAACCACCTATGTCAGGAAGGAGTGCATGTGCGCTCTCTCTCTCTATATATATATATATATATATATATATATATATATATATATATATATATCACACCAATCAATCAATGCTAATCCCTCATACCCACTAAGATGGCTACAATAAGGGACAATATAACTAAGGTGACAAGTGAAACCCTCATACATTGTTGGAGGAACCATAAAGTGGACAGCGGTGCAGCCTCTTTGAAAGACAGACAACTCCTCCGAAAAGCTAAACTGAGTTCAGATGTGACCCATCTGGCCCACTTCCAGGTATAGACCCAAGAAAGCAAAAAACATCTTTAAAAGGCTTGTCCCTGAATGCCCACAGTAGCATCCTTTAATGTAGCCACAAAGAGGGACAAATGCCTAACCGATGATAAGTGAATATACATTTTAAATGTGGCACACAGATACAATGGAATATTATTCAGCCACAAAATGGGCTGAAATACTGATCCATGCCACGCACGACATAGATGAACCCTGAAAGCAATGTGTGTGTGGTGGGGGAGATGCCAGGAATCAGTTTCCAGACACAAGGGTGGAGGTGGCTGAGGTCCCTGGGTGTTTGAAAGATTCAGAGCATCTTGGCATAGCTGGAGCGTGTTCCCAGTGCCTGAGGAAACCCCAGAAGGGTCCATTGTTCCTGGAGAGCCATGGTCATCTCTATGTACAACCGAATCTTAACACAGCAGGTTGACAGCAGTGAGAGAGGGGCCTTGAGTGCCAAGCTGAGACACTTGAAACACATCCAGAAGGTAGTGGAGAGGCAGCATTGAGAGAGAGGGAGGATGATGGGCTGGAACTGAATTTTGGACACAGACACAGACCCTTGAACTCATAGCTTCTCCCTGCATCTGCCCCTGCCCCCACAGCCACCCCTGCCCCTATGGCAGTATTGGCTCAGTTGGGTGAGGTTGGGACTATGCAAGGGGGCATTACTTCTCAGACGCAGCTGCCCTACATTCTGACCCACTTTCCTGGGTGTGAGAACAGTCATCGGGGAGCAGGGAGGCGTGAGGAGCAGGTGGCAGCGGCAGCAGAGACGCTGAGGGCCTTACGATATTCTCCCTGGGCGGAGTTGTTTGTGCTGGGCTTGTCTGCTGTCTGCTGTGAGGAAGTAGCAGAATGGAAAGCCTCATGTGTTCAACCCACCTGCTTCTCAGGTCAGCCCAGGAGGGGAGACAGGAAATGTCACCTCACCTCACAGACCTCCCCACTGTCGGGGACCTGAGAGGTCACAGCATAGGCCTGGTGGAGAAACCAGAGCCTCGGGGAAGCAGCTACTTGCACTGGAGCCAGAAAACTGGCTCAGACTTGCCACTGTGTCCCAGCCAGCCTAGGATGAGCACCCTGGACTTCTGCCATCCTGGCTCCTGCCGTGGGCCTTCTCAAAATCTCACAAGGATGCCTTTGGGCCTGACACAGTCCCTGGGCACAGAGTGATGTCTAGTAGGCCTGAGGGCTGAGGGCCATGGATGGGATTCTGTTCCATTTACCTGTAATAATTCAGGCAGACAAGACTCCAGCCTTTACTCGCATGCTCTGGCCGTGATCCGGACTGGTAAAGGATGAGCATGAGATACATGGACCAGACTCTGTCCCCTGTACAAAGCCTATCTTCTGGGAGTCTATGTCACCAGAGATGGGAAAACCAAAGACCAATGCAGATTTTACTAAGCTGCTTGGAATCTGAGCACAATGGCACCCACAGACAGCCTGAGCCTGCCTAGCCTTCCTGAGGGTTAGGTAGAGGCAGAAAAGAAAGACGACAAAAAGAAAAGGTCCAGGAATCCAAGCAGGTAGACCCCACCTGACTCCAGCTTTCCATCCTCTCTGGGGCGCCCTCTCCTGTATTGAGGGCACAGAGGACCATCCACCCTGC